ATACGCCTTGATGGTATTTCGCGTCGGCTGTGTTACAGTTACAGAAGCCTTTGCATTCATGACTCTCCTATTGAGAAAAATTGTAACCAGTCATTGTCAATCGAAAATATCAAATAATACCTGTTCTAGATTCCTGGTATGATTCATCAAAGATCTGAACGATGGACGGATTGATACTTTTCTCGTTCGTGCTTCGAATTTATTTACCCTGCGAAAAAGTGCAAGAAAGTGGAAAAAAGTAATAAAAATCACTCGAGAAACCAATGAATGTTGTAGATATGATAACAATCTCGCAAGAATCATCGAGCATTCCCGAGGGCGACTTTTTTCCCCTTCGGTCCGGCTCCGATTTCAGTTCTACAATAACTGCTCATTATCCTGGCAAATGATTGCGGTAACCCGAGTCTACCACGGAAGGAACGAGACGCTGGTCTAGAGATAAATGTGCCAGGGGGAGAAAGAATGGGATACTGACTAGAACAGAGGGAATAAAAATAAACCACAATTAGTACATTTCCAAGACAGAAAAATTGATCGATACGAATCATAAGAATTCCTGATTTAGAAATTCGATACTCCTTTTCTTCTAAACATTTACATTTTCATTTCAAATTCATCACGAAGGAAAGAAGAAATGAACGAATCTAAAAACATGTTGGTATTTTTATTAACATTTTTACACATTTGAATAGTTACATAGCAGATTGAAATCCGCCTTTCTTTTATACAAAGATAAATACAATATGTACTTTAACAGCAATGAATACGACTACGTGTGCGACGTATTCTCTTCAAAACATCTTTATTCGGTAAACAATAACTCTCTTTCTTTCTTTCCTGTTCACTTCCGAGTCTCAATGACTCGTGTTTATGTCCGTATTCGTGTCCATATTCTGGTATGTACACATATCTTTACTTGACACACGCCCGATTATCATCATCATAACATGATTAAAAATACGCATGTAACCGATACAATAAATATCTGTTGATATTTTGTTAATATATACAAACGCATACATATAAATATTAGTACTTAAACATTTTAGTCGAGTTTCTGAAATTAGGTTTATATTCGAGTTGATTACAGTGTTTGCGTATATGTACACGTGCATTTGACTGTTACATCGCATCAAAACTTACGTTCTTGTAAAGCAATGAAAATATGCGATAATTTCACTAATTTATCGTCATAATCTGTAATCAACTATGAATGATAGACTAATATCAAAGGAAATGTTCTTTAATAAATTCTGTAATAATTACTAAGGATAAACAAAATCAATCGTATTTTTATGATCTGACGACGTTTACGTTTAAGGTATGAATAATGTAAAACGAATCATTCTAACAAAGGAATCTGAATTATTAAGTATACTTTCTAAATTACTCGTGTTGCAAATGTATTGTGCGCGTACAATTGCATGGACCTCCCTCTAACATTAGCACACTTACACTCGCTCTCTCGCTCTCTCCCTCACTCACACACGCACCCACGCATACACACCCCTCTTTTAGTTACTCTAGCTCCTCCCTACCTTTCTTTGTTTTCTCTTTTGTTCAATGTTAAAATTATTAAAATGTTTATTGATATAAATATACAAGCGAATTTCATCTAAGCCACAATTTTAATCGCAGAGCATCCACACCATTTAGGTAATACCGAAATAATCGTTTATCACGTACAAAGCCTAAATTTTCGTACAAACGTAGCGCTGGACGATTAGTGATCTCAGTTTCCAAAACTACCTCGTCTGCATTATCTTCCATCATTGCTTGTATCGCTCTCCTTACCAAATTTGATCCAACTTTCCGTTTTCGATATTTCACGTCAACAGCTAACATAGCAATGTATCCACGTTTTATTACCTCTCTATGGATATCCAACTTGCAGACAATGGCACCGATACACTTGTCACCATGCATCGCCTTGATGAACAAAAAGTAAGAATTTTCTGTAAATTCTACACCTGCAAGACAAAGGAATCCAACGAAAACTGGCTAAAAGTTCTTACACTTTCTTCTTGCATCAAGGTGAATCACTTATCTTAGAAAATGTATAGATGCGAAAAAAACAACTTTCCATACTAACATCTTTCTAACAAGTTTAATATTTCGACAAGTATACATACCAAAAAACATAATTTAGGCCAATTATAAATAAAGTATCTATATGTGTAAATGGAATATGGTTCGCTTAAATCCTTTTGTATCAAGTGCATAATATGGGGCATTTGCAATTCACTTGTGTAGCTAACGTATTGAATGTTATTGTCACTATTTTCCGGAGACAACGTTTTTGCTTCCTCTAAACAAATACAGAAGAATATTATAAGAATAAGTTAATAGGAATACAATTCGTGTTACATCTATAATTAAACCTTGATCATGTAAATATGCAAACTTCAAAAACTTCATAAAGAAACTACTTTTGACTTGTTCATGTAATATTTAATAATAATTACGTCTTATAAATACCTCCTGCAAAAATAATAACATTTAAATACCAATTTCTCATACCTTCTTCATTAATATGACCTTGACGAGCCATACCATTTGTACGTGGTTCTTCGTACTCATCGTTCGTTGTCAGACTCAACCGAGACATAATGTTTAAATTAGTGATTTCTGTTACTGAATTTTCCATTTCTCCTTCAATATTACTCGATTCGACCTCCGATTCAACTGTGTCTGTAACGTTGTTCAACTGCACGCTTTCCATTTTTCTTAATTTTTTAATGATTTGTAATGCTCGAATTCTAATTCTTAAAGTAGTATATATAGGACGTCCCAATAGTATTATTTTTTATTTTTTACATATAATCCTGATACACCATCAGAGTTTTTCGACAGGAGACACACTTTTCAATCGAATTTTCATAATTATGGTAAATTGAATCACCTATTGATACTATTTTTACTTTAAAATCCGGATATCCGACATAAATCGTTCATCAACAGCCACCATTTTGAATTTCCAGTGATAACAGCTAGTATTAAAGCATAAACAATATAATTTCACCAGAAGCAACGGTTCCTTACGAAAAAGAGTATTACTCCTGTTCCTTCATAAAATTTGCGAGGTTTAGGGAGACGCTCGGAAATTGTGAATGTTATTTTTTTTATCATCCTCACTGGTTTATATTCAGCGCTAATCCTCTATCTCGATGATTTTTTAAATCAGGTGTTTAACTTACTCGCCTCGTGCTAGTATTCGAAAACAGCGTTCCCCCACTACCCCTACTTAAAGAGCTGCCACAGATTGTATATCGTCCGTTGTTTGAAAAATACTACCATTTCGGCACAAGAATAAGAGGGGGTCTCTCGCTAGGGATTTTGTTTATGATTTTGATTGGTTATGTGTAACCGTATTAACGAATAGCAAATTAGTATCGAAAATGAGATGAGAAAAAATTAAAGCTGACCAATACGATTCACATTCCTTTCAGGACTTTTGCGTGAACAACGTGAAATATTTATTCTGCACATGGAAACAGCTCTGGGACGACAACGGTATTTTGTTTATAGTTTTGATTGGTTACTAGTAACAGTACTGACGAATAGCAAATTAGTATTCAGAATGAGATTAGAACAGATGAAAACTGATCAATTAGACCTGCATTCCTCAGCCTATCCATTGAGTGACAAACGGACAATATAAACTGTATAATCACTGATTATTCAATTTTTCATGACCTGTGTTTCTGTTTACCGATACGAGAGGGCGTTTGCATTTTCTTACAACACCGGAAGTAGTACCTTCGAGCTTCCATTTATATTTCAGGCAGGATGGGTGAGACATTCGATTTTATAGAGATCGTGTTTTTATCGTTTTCGATCCACGTTTTTTGATTAAAAATTATTAATACGCTATTGTCATTAAGTTATAAAGACGCTTGCTTCTTCAGTTGATTGATATATTACTTGGGAAAGCTTTAAAATTCATTTAAAATTTATTTGTTATCGGTTTCGTTCTGCGTTTTGTCACTCTTCTCTACAATATCGTATTTGTTATTCTTCTTAAAAAGAGATTGTTTTGTTATAGGCATTTCTCGTGATCATTGGCACAAAAGGCGAGCAACTGGAGGTAAAAGAAAACCCATCCGGAAGAAGAGGAAGTTCGAGTTAGGACGTCCAGCCGCAAACACTAAGCTCGGAGCCCAACGCATTCACACGGTATGTTCAAAAATTATTCTTTATTAACACTTCTTATCCTTGAAAAATAATATCTTATTATTGAATTTTCAAATGATGAATACCTTTACCTACTCAGAAATGTGTGGTGACATAAATCCTACAGCGTACTGAATAAAACAAAATGTGATGAGATTTATTTGTTTTTAAGCAACT